TGTTTCTTTGATAAAAATTCTATAAGTGAGCATAAACAAACATTACTAAAGACAGATTGTTACCGAAATTATAGAGAGTGAATCATTTCCTCGTCTTTGTTTTTATCGAAACTTTTCGGCCACCGGATTTCTTCAGCTTATCTCGCGCTCCCGGTAACGTTCAGGGAATTTAAATCTGAACACTTTACTTAATCTACGGAGATGAATTGTTTTCATTCTGTTCTAACATTGATCACTTCTTGCTCGCCATAATTCAACAGAGTTTATGCCAGTACAAACCTGATCCAGGGATTGAAATCACTATTAATATCCCACCGATTCAGGAACCAACACGTTAATCCTCTATGCGGTTGTCCAAGTGATAACAACCTCGTGTCAACAACAGCAAATATGGAAAAAATTGTCCGATTGTATATAAGGAAATTTACCGAAAAAATATAGACAGAAATCTAATGGACATATATTTAAAAAAAAACGACATTCACTTGGAATTCCTATTTATTAGGTCATCCCATAAGTTCTGTCCGAATTTTAACTTTTTGTTAAAATGAACAAAATTTAAAGAGTATTTTATAATATCTAATGGAGCTGAACATTATTTTTTATGTTTAGATGCATTTAAACTGATCAAATTTTATTTCAAAGAACAATAAAATTAAATTTTGTTTGATTAAAACCCTGCTAACATGGAAGTACCCAAGAATCATTTGAGGCACATAATGCTTTAGTAACATTCACTCGCTTTATGGAGAGGAATGTGTGAATGAATGAACTTGCAGAAGATGGTTTGTAAAATTCAGAGGTGGAGATTTCACCCTTGAAGATGAAGATCGAACCGGACGTGCAGTTGAGTTTGATGAAAAGCTTCTTGAAGCAGCCCTTGAAGAAAATCCTGCTTTATCAGTTGAGGAATTGGCAGTGGTTCTCAGTTCAAAACATACAACTGTTCATCGTCATCTTCAACAACTTGGAAAAGTTCCTAAACTTGGAAAATGGGTGCCTCATGAATTGTCTGAAATAAACCTCACATCCGATTTGACATCTGCTCTTCTCGCCAAATTGTTTCACCTTTTTTGGATAGACTTGTGACTTTTATCGAAATGTTAAGCGTCGTAGACAGTGTCTTGGTAAAGGGGAAGGACCCCAGCCACAGGCGAGAAGGAAACTTCATGGGCAAAAGGTTCTTTCAATCTGGTGGGATCGCCAAAGAATAATCCACCTTTAATTCTTATCGCCTAATGCTCAAATATACTGTCAGCAATTAGAGTGTTTGAACCAAGCTTTGAGGAAAAAAAGGCTTGCTCTAGTGAATCGAAAAGAGATGATGTTTCATCAGGACAATGCGTGACCCCACCCAGCAAGAATCACGTCACAAAATGTAGATTACAGAATCATTTGGAAGAAACAGCTTTTGTAACACAGGAAGAGGTTAAAACTGACGTTTGTGAGTTCTTCGAATCAAAGTCAAAAGAATTTTACAGTAATGGAATTAGTAAGCTAGTTAATAGATGGAAGGAAGTCATAGATAATCAGGGAAAATACATTGTTGATTGAATCTGTAATTAAATATAACATTTGGTCACTTGTTTTCTTTATTCAAAATTCGGACAGAACTTATGGGATGACCTGATATATAGACGCATAGAATTTTCGTGTCCGTTTCTATAAATAACAGTTAGAATTCAAAACAAATTATCAAAGGCAAAACGCATTTTGATTTTACGAACTTATATCCTATTTCATTTCAAAGTTTACTTGAACGTTTCATAAGATTATTTCCGGTGACATCTCGATGTGATATGATGGTTAACAAGCTTGTCTCGCGAGGTAGATTGAGACTGAGAAATGAGTTTCATTGACACTGAACGGCCCATCCTTTCAGCCTTGTGCCACATCTAAGCTATGCTTAGAAAATCCTTTAAGGGTACCTCGTAAACACTCTCTCTATATCAAATACGACTGTGTAGTGAGTCCAATTCTAAATGGATGCTCCCCAACCTCGGCCTTGTGCCACATCTAATCTATTTTTTTATGAATATATAATTGAAAGTTTTTAAAATATTTTATTTCGTCCTCGTCTATCAATATTTGTAACACCTGCTTAATTATTTATCTTTTTTTTTCATTTTCTTTTTGAATTTAATATTTTCTTTCTTTCCGAGCAAATGATATCAGGTTATTTCTAAGATCAATGTTTGAATCATAGTCGCCTTTAAATTTCTTAGTTTCCTTAAAACTATATATGCTTTTTTAAATGGTTTTAACCAATTTAAAGGAAGTTAAGGAAGTAGTGAAAATGTCCCTCTATAATTAATACTTTTCTGTCAGCTCGTCATTCAAATCTTTTAATCTAGAAATATATTACAAGATCATTGCACAACTGCAGATGAACCGAAAGTGCTATATTATCTCGTTCTGGACAATTGCTCGGCACATCGTCGATGTTAATAGCGTGTACTTAGCACCAAACTTTGCACATCGTAAGGAATTATGATAGAAGTCGCAAATTCTAGCGATCTTGAAAATTTTGTCAAGGAATTTCGCATGAAAAACATTATTTATAAGAGTAGTAATTCTTTAAGGCAAAAATTCCAACAGTATGTGCCTGATCGTATAAGAGAAGGTACACATATTGGTGGGATTTCAAATTTCTATAAATGTCTACAGGTAATATGTGTGTGTACAATATGGAGTCTAGTCAGAACCACCACCACGCTTCTTTTCTTTCGGGAGTCAGAGAAACATTCAATGAGTTGTAGCTGAATATTGTGTAATAAGAGATCTGATATGTTGGTCACTACTATTGATTTAAGCATGAGGGCAAATTTATGAAATATCGTCACTTGTTGCACTTTCAAATGTATTTTGATTTGTATGCTAAATAACTGATACAATATTTGCTTTTCTTTCTGTTTCACATGAAAAACATTATTTATAAGAATAGTAATTCTTTAAGGCAAAATATACAACATGGCACAGTTATGAAAGTGCAAGAAAATCGATGTTCTGTTTGCATATGAAATATTTAAATTTAAAATATATTAGCAATAAAAAAAACGATTCCTCATAGTGTTCGTAATATCCATTTAAACTGTGATTTCGACTCTGATTTCTCTTTCAATATACACAGTATTCGATTACAATTAAATACAAACCTGTATATTATCGGAGCTGGCGTTTATCTGGCCACAACAATGTTTCAGTGCATCGTAATTTTATCTTTGGGCGAATGAATTTGTTCTTTTTCTTAAATGAAAATAAAAAGGAAAACGTCAATTAAAAGTATATGTTGGAAGTATGACGCCCCCGAAATAATAAAAAAAAATAAAGATTGTATTTAACCATAATCTCTACTATCATGTGTCTATGTTATGTAAGTTAGAAGCTCAAAAGCAAACGCAGACCGGTATTCGACTCCAGGTAAAATGTAGAATTTCGAATGCTCATTTTAAATATATCCTTCCCAGATGAAAGGCGGAATAAAACATATTCTCTCTACTCGAATTCCGAAATCCCTCACACTATCCGGCCTAAGTAATTATCAGTGGTACCGTAGGCGTTACTAAAAGCTCACATGGTAAGATATTAATCAGAAATAATTACACATTTAATCCCTTTGTGGGAATACGTTTTTTTTGGTTTTACATTGAATTTTTTTTAAAGAAAGATACGTTCCTTTTTTCGCCTCTTTTCAAATTCTGATCTACAACAGAAGGCTGTCTACTTTAATTCTGGTTGTGAATGTCGTTTAACGATCAGGACGTAAGATTAAGAAATAACAATAAAGTCGATTGCGATTCTATTCTTTATTTACAGTGTATACAGATCTTTTGTCAATGTTACCAAATCTTACGGCAAAAAGTAAACGTCATTCCATCTATCTTAAAAAAAAAAGATATAGCGACAAAACATTCTTATCTACGCATGATGTCTATATTTAAGTTAAAATTAAACAAAACAAAATATTATCACTGCCGCCAAGGTTAAAGAAAATCATGGATTTGAATACACGATCTTGCAAGAATTTTTATGGTTATTTTTATTTTCACTGAATACAAACAATATCTAAATCGATTCGACATTTTAAACCGCTATTTTTTTATTTAAGATTTATTTATATATATATATATATATATATATATATATATATATTTATAGGTGTGTTTGTGCGCGCACAAAACGAATAATGTAGCAACAAAAAGTAATTCAAACATGTTTTATTGAAGGCAATATTTGTTTTAGATTTTTTTTTTAAATTTTTTGCAGTTTGCATATAAGCTGTCGTAAACCTGGTTCAGACAAATCTTTTCGATCTTATCCATATATATATATATATATATATATATATATATATATATATATATATATATATATATATATACAGGAGAGATTAATGTTTTCCAACGAGAGAAAATGATATATTTGAAAGAGAAAAAAGCTATGAGTGTTTTTGTTTATTATGTTGATTTTTTATACTTCCTTTCGTATATTTTGCTACAAGTGTTTCGGATCTTGTGACCCTCCTCTGGAGAAGAATGATTAATTAAACATATTATTTAAAGGAATCAATGTTTTCTTCCTATGTTAAACTTTTTAACCACTGTCTTTTGCGCTTAGTAGTAGTCATTCAGTATCTGAATGTCTTGAAGCAGCCGAAAAATGCTTCAAAATGCCAACAGTATGTGCCTGATCGTATAGGAGATGATACACATATTGGTGGAATTTCAGTTTTCTATAAATGTCTACAAGTAACATGTGTGTGTACAATATGGAGTCTAGTCAGAACCACCACCACGCTTCTTTTCTTTCGGGAGCCAGCGAAACATTCAATGAGATTTAGCTGAATATTGTGTAATAAGAGATCTGATATGTGGGTCACTACTATTGATTTAAGCATGAGGGCAAATTTATGAAATATCGTCACTTGTTGCACTTTCAAATGTATTTTGATTTGTATGCTAAATAACTAATACAATATTTCCTTTTCTTTCTTTTTCTAGGATGTAGCTGTGTTGTCCAACCCTTCAGGCTACCAAAGCAAACAACAAGAGATTAAGATGTCTTCCGTAAAATTCAAATCATTCGAAATGTCCTCGTCATGGCCGTCATCAACGCAGCTGCTAACGTTACCACCACCGCCTTCGCCGCCGCCGCCGCCGTCGCCGTTATTATCGTCTTCGTCCCGGACACTTTGCTTGATGTCGATGACATCACGGTCGAGACAGTCACCTCACGCGCGGCCCACTCGAACACGATCACGCCTAGCCGTGCATATACAGCCTTTACAATCGCGGACGGCATCATCATCTTCGGATATCTCTTTTCCACCTTCTCCCCCTCCCCCTCCACCCCCTCCTCCTTCTTCTTCTTCTTCTACTTCTTCTTCTACAGCAGATTCGACAACTTCTAGACTCGTAACGTCCGACCCTCCCCACAGGTCTAATACGAAAACTCACTCGACTTCCTCCTATTTTTATCCTTTTTCATCGCATTCGGACACTTCAGGTTCTTCTGTACAATTTTTAAGCTCCAAGTCCTTCCGATTCACGCCGAATTCTATGTCGTCTTTGTCTTCACATTGGTTGCCAATACTCACTGTCTTATTACTGCTTCTTCACACATCACACGCTTGGGGATTTGAGTGTCCCAGACAGTGCGAATGTCATAATCTACGCGACCCGAACCGCGTGTCAACCTCAATGGCTGCACGGTGTCGTGTCAACGATAGCATGGCTCGCTACAACTTCAGCGTCTTCTCGCCACGTTACACCACTGTCCTGGTGCTCCAGTGTCAGGGAAAAGCCCTAACGCCGGTCAACCACATGTTCAGGGACCTCTTCTACCTCGAGGAGCTGGTCTTTAAAGACTGTCGATTTAATACCATTCCAGATTATACACTGGCTGGCCTTACCAACCTCAAGAATTTCAGTATTTTTGGCGCCGATCGGCTCACGTTCACGCCACGACTCTTTCAGAAATTAATGAACCTGCAAAACTTGGAGATAATCCGAAGCGGATTCCAATCGGTGCCCGTGAACTTTCTGTGTCACTCAACGCGAATACGCTCATTAATATTTTCCGAAAATGAAATCTTCACGTTGCGCGACCTGAAGAATCTATGCCTGGTCAACGCCACATTGCTGGGTCAAATAAGCCGACTAGATTTAAGTTACAATAATATTAAAGAGATCACTGAGGATTTTGACGCGATGTTTACTGGTATTGAGATGGTCAACTTTGTCGGAAATGAAATAGAGTCTATAGTCAACAACAGCTGCTCGGAATTGTACGATTTGACGGTATTGGACTTGTCTCGAAATCAAATCAAGGAGTTCCCGCTTGATTTCCTAGAATATTCAGACAATTTGATGCAGTTAGGATTGTCACACAATCCGATCAGTCGACTCTTTCCTGTATTTAGTAGTCTTTCTAACTTGAGGATATTTGAGGCTGAGCATACACATCTTGACAATAACATCTGGTCTGATCTAAATGAAAAACCCCAATTAGAAAGCTTAAACCTGGCTAATTGCCACCTGTCATTAATCAACAAGTCAGTCATGAACAAACTAACCTCCCTAATACGGCTAAACCTGCACAGCAACTTAATTAGCCGCTTGTCACCGAACGTGTTCTCGTCTAATAGGCAGCTCGAGGTTCTTATTCTCACTAACAATAGCTTGATACACCTGGATGAAAACTCCCTCCACGGTCTAACCGGTCTCAGACATCTCGATCTGAGTTACAACAAACTCTCTGCCATTCACATTGACGCCTTCCACGATTTAATAAACGTTGAAAAGTTAGATATGAGTTATAACGAATTGCAGGAGATCCCAAACTCTATTCATCCATTGAATCGAGTGCAGGAGTTATACTTTGAGGGAAATCAAATTCGGAGAATCTACAAGGACTTTTTTAAAGGAATGGATTCAGTCAATCGAATTGTACTGGCAAAAAACCTCATTCACGTGGTCGATGCTAACAGCTTCGCTCGCTGTCTGAATCTTCACATTCTCGACCTGAGCGACAACAACATCACCAGCGTTCACGAGGACGCGTTCGAGGGTCTCAAGCAGTTGATCGGAGTTAGTCTGGCGCATAACAGGATTCGCAACATCGGCACGGCCCTCTGGAAGCAGATCAACTTGAGTCAGGTTCATTTACAGAACAACTTAATTGAAGAAATCATGGCGTCGAACTTCCCGGACAGCATTAAATTTCTGAACATCTCGCACAACCGTATACGCGTAGTGCGACCTTTTACTTTTTCGAACAAGGACACTCTCGTCGAGGTTGACCTCCGCTCTAACCGAATCAGTCGTCTAACCAAAGACGCTATCAGCGTGTCGCACCGAGTGCGGGCGATTCCGGACGTCTATCTGATGGATAATCCGTTCCGATGTGACTGTAATCTCGTCTGGTTGAAGCAGTTGGCCGACGTGAGACCACGCAAAAGGAACGGCCTGCCGTACATCCCGGATCTTGACGATCTAGAATGCCAATCAAATAATACTAGTTGGCTACCGACGGGCCGCATCTATCATATAAGCGAGTCGGATTTCTTGTGCAAATATCTGGACGAATGCGCCGCCGACTGTATCTGCTGTCATTTTGACATGTGCGACTGTAAAAGCATCTGTCCGAAGATGTGCAATTGTTACCGATCGTTCGATCGCAGGTCTAATTTTATCGACTGCACCAATAGCAGTTTGAACGACTCTCGTTTCCTGCCTTCGAACGCTACAAAAATCTTCTTGAGCGGCAACCGTCTTGGCTCACTGTCGAAACATTCGTTTTTACGTCAGCGCGAGATGTTGGTCGTTCTTTACTTGAATCGTTCGCATATAACGGACGTGCAAAACGGCACGTTCATGACGCTAATCAATCTCAGGGAGCTGTACATGCACGATAACTTGCTCAGCGTCTTGACCCGAGAGACCTTCCAGGGGCTGGCCGGCCTCGAGGTACTCACCCTGAACAACAATATGATCAGCTATATTGCGCCTGGTATGTTTCTTCAAATACCGCGCTTGAAAACGATTGATCTAAGCGGCAACGGACTGCACACACTGGACCCAAGTTTCATGGCGATTACCACCTTCGAAAGTATTTCGTTGCGTGGCAATCCCTGGCTTTGCAAATGTCCACTCGTCATGGCCCTGCAGGAGATGTACATAACAGACCCGGAGGTAATCCCACATTCAGAAGAGGTATTTTGTGACCATGAAGAAGTCATCAACAGTAGCGTGTCGCAGTTCACGGTTTACCATATGTTCGATTATGACGTTCAGCTGTATTGTTTGAACGTGACAACGTCCGGAAACTTCTCAGCCCAACCCAGCCCAGTGATGGAGATGAAGGTTCTCCTTGCCCTGGCCATTTTTTCGGCCGTCTTCATCACTCTCATGGTGGCGATCATCAGTGTCATCTGCTACCGGGAAGAGCTTAAAGTCTGGCTCTTTACCCAGTATGGGTGGCGTGTCGGTGACGACTGGGCCAGATTGGACGATTCGAACAGGAAATATGATGTCTTCGTCGCGTATACCAGTAAAAATGCCATGTTCGTCGAGCACGAACTGGCTCCGCGTCTTGAAAGACGCGACCCTCCTTACCGGGTATGTCTCACCTACAGGGACTATGATGTGGACATTTCTTACGCACAGAACACGATAAATTCCATCAACAACAGCAAAAGAACTCTGATGCTTGTCTCCAATGATTTCTTTTGTACGGAGTGGTTTCGCTATGACTTCCAAATTAACAACCACGATGTCCTTAAGGCGCTCTCAGACCGCCTTATAGTCGTTCTCATGGAGAAAATAGACAAGAAGAAACTAAATTGCGATCTTATGTTTTATTCTAGGTCGAAAAAATATTTAAAATATCACGACGCCCGTTTTTGGGATAAACTCTATTACATGTTACCAAAAGTTCGGGGACTGCCACTTATACCACAGACCCCAGAATCAGTAGTCTCGGCGGGGGAACTTCGCGACCAATGCTGCAACAACATTGCCTTCTCGAAGACTTCTCTGGAGAGCGGCTATGAAGAAATCAATTTTGTAAGAAAGAACGTTTATCCGAATTCTGATCAAAATCTTTATATGGCGCCAGTATCGCAAACAAACTGCAAATGAATCTTTTTTTTTTTTTGTTTTTTTTAATCTTTTACGCTTAAAAATTCTTATTTTTAAATTTTTTCAAAATTCTATTTCGTTTTTGTTTGTTTTTTTTTATTTTTGTTTCTTATTTTAGTTTTAATTTTGTTATTTTTTTTTCTGATTACAATTACGAAACGATTTAGTTATTAGACAATAAGGAATTCCTTTGTCCGCTATTTAGCAATTTTGAAGAAAATAAAATAAAAATCTATTTTTTCCCTATTTCCGGACCAATAAATTCACTTTCTTCGAGGCCATATTTTCACCTAATCACATGTTACTTATATTATATATATATATATATATATATATATATATATATATATATATATATTATTTAGAAATGTTATCTAGAATAGCAATATTTCTAAAGAAAATAAGCGTAAAATGATCCAGAATTTGCTTGGCAAAATCTAGTAATGGAATAACATTTCATAATGATCAAAACTTAAATTGTTTCAATTAGATGAAATATTTTAAAACAAATTACTAGAATTCAAAACCCTTAGGCGTTATCCTCAAATGTGAAAAACCGTCATCTGAAAGCCGTTACAACATTACGCATATAAATAATGAAAGGACACATATTAATTACTTGTTTTTAAACAAATAAAACCTATTTTTTGTTAACATTTGTAAAAAAAAATATGAGATGTGGTGGAAAATGGTCTTTGAGAAATTGCACATAGATACAAGCGTGTACACACACATATATCCTTACATACATACATATATATATATATATATATATACGCACACAGACATCTATGTGCGTGCGTGTGCCTTTGTGTGTGCATGTGTGTGAAAATATGTGACGGAATTTCCCATTGATCTGAGAAGGATAATTCGTAACCTGGAAAAATCGTTCAATGAAATTAATCGTCACAAAACGGTTTGAAGATTTCTCTTAAAGAACATTTGCTGCCTAAATCCACTATATATATATATATATATATATATATATATATATATATATATATATATATATATATATATGTATGTATGTGAAGAAAATAATTTTTATTTGCTTTCTCAGAAAACGTATTATGTTGCCTTTCCTTTTAACGTTGTAAAAGTAATACACGATATATAAATTTTAGATTATGTCTTTGCCAGTTCACTCAAATTTTAAAAAAAGAGTTTTAATAAATATATTTTGGACAATCATTTACTGCCTGATACATTTCAAATTGTTATGTTGTCATTTTAATAGTTATACAAGCAAGTAAGCTTTTAATAAAATCTATGTCCGCCTTCACGTAAATAAAGAATCAGTTTATTACGAAATTATGTCCAACGAAAAAATTATTTGGGCTTCAATTCTTTCTTCTTTTTTTTTTGCATTCATTCTGATGATTATAGCTTTTGTCAAAATGAATAAAATAAAATTAAATAACTTAGAACTTTTCTTACTTTACTTCCTTGCACTTTTTTTGTAAATATTGTCGATAGGTATATGAATAACCAGGCCCCACATGTTTTGTTAAAATTGTTGCGAGGCTTCGCTTTTTTTTTGAACAACAGCAAGTATAAAATTTTTAAGTATTTTGCAAAATTAAGAGAATGGGATCATCTTCGAAATTTGAATTGTCTTCCAACTTTTAAATTAATCGTTCGAAAACCGGGATTTTTTAAGTGAGCTTTAATACCAATCACTGGCACCGGTGGAAATTTATCAACTTTTGAACTTGGAGGCAAGCAATAATTAGTTTCATTGTAATCAAAACAATTTCTCATTTATTTAAATTTTATTTGTTTTGTTTCTTATTTTCCTTCTTTTCTTTTTATTTCTATTGTTCATTTTGTTTGCTTCTGCTTTATGTTTTATTATGATGGCGACCGACTGTTGTAAAATCATTTTTATTGCTTGAATTAATTCGAAAATATAATGTATGCATTCAAACAATTCTCCACTTTTTGATTACATTGTGAGATAAGGCATAATTGTCAATATATATATATATATATATATATATATATATATATATATATATTTACTTGTTACGTCAGAAATACCCTTATTCCTTTATTTTAAAAGGGTACTAGCATCTATTTTAAAATGAGGGTACCTGATCTTAATAATGTGATTTTTAAACTAAACTCTCCTCCTCTCCTTCGCGTGTTTCGTTTTTTTTTTTTTTTTGACATATTTCCTTTAAAATATATCTATATACGTTTTTTTTTTTCTTTTTGTCCGTCTTTTATTCTGTTTGCCTGCTTGCCTGTCTGTCTGTCTCTATCAATCTATCGCTTCACATTGTTTTATTATTAGGTTTTTATCCTTTTTCTATTTATATATTGTGTGATACTCTTTCTATTTCTTATTATTAATTAGGTTTATTTTAAACTTTCAATTTTCGCAAATAATTTATTTTATTGTCCTAAATGATTCCGTGTTTGTTTCCTTGTATTTTTCTTCATTCCTTTATTTTTTGAAATTCGTCAATTTATTCATTCAAACTTTCTTTCTTTCTTTCGTTCTTTTCCACTGATATCATAATTTATACCCCCTATCATTCCTTTTATCTTTTTCAAATTTTCTTTCTAATTTATTTTTCTTTCTCTCCTTTTTCTTTAGATATTTTCTCTCTTTTTTTTCTGTTTTTTCTCATCTTTATCTTCACTTCTGTAAATTAAACGATTATTTATTTCTTTTCTATTTAATTTTTTCTGCTTTGTTCATTTTAATTATTTTACCTGGCATATTTTCCATCATTCATGTTCACCTCTATTTTTGTCATCAATCATATTTTACCAGGGTGTTTTTTTTTTTTTTGCAGATCCTTTTACTTTTAACGTCTATTTTTCTTTCCTTCTCCTCTATTCTTTCTTCTTTTTTTTATATATCACCTGGCCTGTTGCCAATATTTTCTTTATTCAACCGCCCTTAATATATGTGTTTCCTTTGCCACACCATTTCATATTATCACGCATATTTGCCTTCGCTGCTGTCATATCAATATAACAAGCTGCATCTGGATTGCAATTAAGTGACTTCGTGATTTCAATCCAGATTTCGGTGTTCCGTTTCGAAGGAAATGAACGGTTCACTAGTCTCTATGAATGATAGTACTTGTTAAATCTACTAAGAACATAATGAATATTCCATTTCGAAGTACCTTAATTTATCTGATCTAAACACAATAATATGATAACAATTTGACATTTGGAATAAAATAAACAAAACAAAATATTCAAAATTCATGTGGCACTTCCAGTTCCTTAGTGAAGAAAAACAGATTTCGCCTTACGTGATAAAAATATTGAATAATTTAATTAAACATTTAATTATATTAAACTCTTCTCTAGTTTAGAAATATTTTACAAAAAGTAGATAGATTCTACCTATCGTCCGATTTATGAATCTCACCGTTTTTTTTTTTTTGTGGGGGGGTTTAAATAAGAATAAAGGATTATTCCTTGTTTCATGTTTTCCCGTTCCTTCTAATGTCTTCTCATTGTCTTTCAAACCAACTAGCCTCTTGCATCTTTGTGGCATTATTGCCTTGCTTGGGGTGAAGTGATTAATACACACACACACACAACACACTTATATATATGTATGCATGTATGTATTTCCTCTGCATACGTTTACTTTATGTTAATTCAGCATCCAGTCATGCGATTATTTTTCGTATATTTTTTTAAACTCTTCAAGAGAACAATTTCGCCATTTTCCAGTAAGCAAATTTCGTCTTGTATTTATATATTTATGGTGTTAATGAATTATTTAACAAAAAGTGGAGAATTGACGACATTTTTGAATAATACCTACATGTATATATGTTTAATTTTTTTATTATTTATTTATGTGAATTCCTGTTACTTATGCCGTCTACCAGCTTCGAGAAATAATTGTTACTCTTCGCTTCAATACCACCAACTCGTAATTGGTAAACCTGACAACGATGCATTTTAGTATATCTAAGTGCATGTTGTTCCGTTGTTTTCGTGTAATGATGAGTCTTCTATTTCTACTATTCTGATTTTACTTACAGATAACCGTCTATCAGAACAGATAAAGTATATCTATGCACCTGGGTGTCACAGGTTTTACAAGTATACTGTCAAGCTGGCAATCTGAAAGACTGTGTTTCTTTTGTGAAGTTGTTGCCATAGAATTCAACTTCTAAATTTTCTTTCGAATGTGAATTGCTTGCAGTAAAAACAAAATTACGTCTGATATACCGGGACTGTTAAATTTAGATAAATAAAATATTCAACATTAATAACAAAATGATTCCAACATATTTCCACGTTCATTTTTTATGTCATCTTGAAAAATTAAAATTAAAATAATTTTTGCCAGTTTTGTAAATGAGACATTTTATATTATTCAGTTAAATATGCAGAAATATGGAATTATATTAAATTTATATGAAGCTGAATTTGCAAGCAAATAACATATGTTAATATTAATAAAACTAATCATTATTTAATTATAAAATATGAATTATTAAATAACTAATTGCAAGTATTATTTAGGGCGATTTTAATGATAATAGCGCTATTAATGAAAATTGTTTTAGGAATCCTTCACCCACCAAAACTAAAACATTTCTAAAACTTAATCAGAAAAATTTCCACAGCTTTTGATGATGAATTTTACGCAGCATCTGTGTTGCTTCGTGCGCGCTAACGTAAAATGATTTGACAAAACGTTAACGAAATCAACAAACTAATTGCTTGTAGCTCTTCCTTTTTCCAAAATAATAGCTGCTTTGTGTCAAATAATGAAGTCTAATAATCCGTTCCGTGGCTGAATATATATATATATATATATATATATATATATATATATATATATATATAAGACCAATATCCAACGGCGACAGTTTTTTTTTCAAGCTTAAATTCTATTTTCAAACAATATGTGTTCCGTTTGGCTCCATCATAATTTATCGTCTCTTTACTTAAAAGCAATATGTAAAACAGAATATAAAAATAGATACGTAAAATAAAATATAAAAAAAAACTTAAATTAATAAAGAATGAAATAAATTTATTAAATAAAAGACAAATTAATAAGCTACGGATGGACTCATAAACACAAGTAAACTTAATAATCATAATCAGCAAAATATAATAAATGAATAGGTAAAATGTGAACAAACACCACTATATTATAGCTACAAATAACTGCATTGGGATGTATAATTATTACTACTCATTAACCTCTCGAAATTTTTCATACTAAACCGTTACGGCCCACCTTGTAACCGTTCGAATAATAAAATAAACGTTCTCCTCATATTGTTCATTTAGCCAGCATGTATAAATAATCGAGCCAAAACACGACACACATGGCCTGAAGATCGCCTTTAAGCATGAAACAGGCTGTCTCTTCCGGGTTTATAAATCTATATCCACTTTTATTTGTATACTCTCTGCCTCTAATATTGATTAATTTAAATCATAAACATACCATAAAATTATATTTTATCACAATATATTTTATGTCTGTATGTAGCTTGGCGGTATCTATGATTCAGGAATGTCAGTATTTGAGTTGTGTTTGTTGACAATATCTTCAGTAATTTTAAGGCCTGTTAAAATACAACAGGCACGATCGATGTAAATGGCTTTTGAATATGGCAAGCGCACATTCCATTAGAATATCTAAAATCATCTAGTACTCCTGAAATTAATTTCGCGTCATCTTCACATAAAATGGTGTTTGTTGTATCCTACAGGATAATCTTGGTTGTTGGCTCAATAATGATCCGCTTCAAAATAAATGAGTAGTTAAGTAATAGAATAAAACGTACTGATATATTGAGGAGGTTCAACTTTGAATTGGTGTATCATTCAATGCAAATCTTCTCTTAGTTAACTTCTTCTTAGCATCCTTATCAGAAGTGTCTCCGTTCAGTGTTTGCATCTTCTTTGGTCGACCGCCGTTTCACGCGTTATTCATGCCTATTATGAATTTAAATATATTTGTATATTCCAGTTAATAAAGAAGAAAGAGCCATTCACATCTTGAAAGAGAATTATCCCTCCTTCTGTCTCTGAAAATAACCTGCTTTTAGGCATTCTTTTATTCTGTGCATTTTGCGCCGCCATGGTTACCATTGCTCTCCATCTTACAATTGCGATTCAGGGTGACATTTAAGGCAGAATAGTTCAATGGCTTGCTGGTCCCATTTGCAACGGGAATTTTGAGGTTACCTGTCCCTCTTCTAAGAAGTTAAAGAGGCATGACCTAAAAAGCAGTAGGGTGTTTGAATTCATAGTTTCCCTAATAGACTGTCGATGGTATATGAAGGCCGTGCACTGCCCAGACTACATGCGCACCCAACTCTCACCCGCACAGAGAAGATCTAAATGAATACAGGAGTTTAAAATCAGGGGCTTACCTTCTCTTAGTTGGACAGTCTACCTGCTCTATCGGTTTCATGACGCAGCTGGTTATGAGGCGCCAGTTTCCGCCTTCACTCATTCTCCGGCTTGGAGCTGCTATTTGAGATGAATGCCATGGAAGATTTTCAAAGGTAGTGTGAGCTTGTTCCCAATAACACGCCAGGTTATGACAAACTTTATGCTGCTTTTAAATGTTTATTAATTCTGTGAACGTCCCAAGATACATTATCTCATTATCTCGTCACACACATGTCAGTCGAATGAGTCCATTCCTACAGGTCGGAGAGAGAGAGAGAAATCTTTCAGTGCATAGCCGTCTCTTTGGAACATTAATTCTAACTAAAGAGATATAGGTTTATATATTTTTTAACGATAGATTGCATTTTATTTTGTTACGTAAAGGAAAAGCTATTAGCTCTTTCCAGTTTTATAAAACCCACACAGGTATATTATCCCTTTAAGCTCTGAGCACCGCTTTACCTGTGGTAGATAAAAATGACGTAATGCCCAGCCACCGGTTGAGCAGTGGTAGAGAAAAAGGACTTCATGCCCAGCTACCTGTTCAACGGTAGGTAAACAATTGTAACTATTTTTATATCTACATACCAATTATTTGCGAATTTTGACTCAGGAGCTCAGGCAGGTTAAAATTGTTCAGGAACGCGGCGCTCAAAGATTTCAATGATTTTACCAAATATTAAATACATGAAATAATTTGGATATTTTAACTAAACTGTATCAAATAATGACGAAATAAGTTTTCTAAATTTGAAGATAATAACAAGAGTAAATGTATTGGTATATTTGCATTGAAATATGCGATATTTCTAAGTGAATATATTTATAAATTTAAATTGAAACTAAATTAATAGGAATAAATGTGAATTAAAATGAGAACGTTTAATGAAG